TATTGTTCCCTTGGCAACACAACAAATTCTCAATAGCAGCAAAAGGCTATCTCAATTTTTCACTGAATGCTCCATACTTTCAGCCTTGTGCCACATCTAAGCTACATTTAGTAAATCAGTATTGTGTCAACTGCCTGGAGAACGCTTGTTGTCCTGAACAAAGAATTGCTTCCCTTAATATGTTTTTTGTATTTTATCCAGTGGCGGATTTACTATGAAACTAATGAAGCTTAACCGTCAGGACTTCTAATCCCAGAGGGGCCCCTGAAGCAGCATTTTTTAATGATTGAATTTTTTAAGTGTTTTTTTTTTTATTAAAATAAGGCCACTCTACACTATTTACATTATTTGGACCACTGTCCTCATCTTTGTCGCTATATATATATTACAACATTTTGGCCATTGTACACTCTGGCCTTCTTCAGGTGGTTGGAATGTCAAAGCAAACTAAAGAATAAAGAACTGTAAAGCGAAGTAAAAGAAGCTGTGTATATGAAGATGTCCTGATGTGTAAATACATATGTGCAAATAAGTTTTTTTTTTTTTCTGTGTTGGGTAGTTAGGACATTTGTATGCTGTACTGTGATCAGTGATTCCCTGGATGCCTAAGAAGCTCCCAGTAAAAGAAATTAGATATGTCTTGTCTCTACAGCATCCAGAGTTTAAAAAGAGAAAATAAGTTTTCGCCCATTATTTGGACTATTGTTCTCATCTTTTTCGCCATATTTATTACAACGTTTTGGCTGTTGTATGCTCCGGCCTTCTTCAGGTGGTTGGAATGTTGAACTGAACCCTTTATTTTGCTCTAGTTTCATGTGCCATGTTCAACGAATGTCAGTTATCAGTTATCTCCTGTTAATTCCCCTCTTCAAATTCTCCACTGCCTTAACCGGGTATTGAACTCACAAATCTTTGGATCCTGTCACTGGATCTAACCAACGCCTTTATCCATTGTGCCATGTGTCCTCACATGGTTCAATACCTGGTTAAGGCAGTGGAGAACTTGCAGAGGGGAATTAACGGGAGATAACTGATAACTGGCACATGGAACTAGAACAGTCTACCCCAGTGAGCAAAATAAAGGATTCAGTTCAACATTCTAACCACCTGAAGAAGGCTGGAGCGTACAACGGCCGAAACGTTGTAATAAATATGGTGGCAAAGATGAGGACAATGGTCTAAATAATGTAAATAGTGTACATAATACCTCATCTCAGAAATATAGACAGATACTGAAGGCCATTCTAAAGACAGAATCATAAGCCAATGGGTTGAAGTAGGCCTTCGAATATGTTCTAATACTCATTTTCTATGACCTCAAAATTCTTCTGTAATTGGTCAAATTTCAAAATTTTCTTGGGGGCTTGCAATGCCTGAAGCCCTAGCAGTATGGGTCTGTTGAGCTCACCAGAATCTATTTATAGCCTACATTTTGGTAGTTGGATCCTCAAATCTATTGTTGCTGGTTACAAAGGGGGCCCCATATCTGTTTAAGCTTCAGGGTCCTAAAAATGTCGGTCCACGTCTGATTCTATCCCTGTATTATTTTTTGTATTTGTATTTAAGTTAATTAATTAAATAATTAATTAAATAGTTAATCAATAAAACAGAAAAGTTAAAAATAAAAATGTTTAACTTTTCTATTTTATTCATTTTTTGTTTTAATTAAAATTTAATTGTATTTCAATTTTTATTTTCATCACCAAGTCATTTATTTCCTGATTTCATTTTTTGAATTCCCAAAACCAATCAGTAAAAATTTGTACATACATGCATCTTACCAAATAACGAAACATCAGATCTTATTTTTGGCAGGTCTTGGTTGGGCTAAGAATTTTTTAGCAACTCCTCATATAAATTATAGAGTCTGATCAAATTTTTAATAGTGAAAGATTTAACAATTGAAAAAAAATTGTTATCTATTCCTTAAAATTACTTAATTAAAAGAATTTAACAAAAAAAATTATTTTTATGTGTGTGTGTGTTGCTCTTTCAGTTGTTCACATTGGTATACAAGGTATCTCTGGTTCAAATAATATTCACAGAGTTCTTATCTGGACTTAAATCACCCCCCCCACTCCTATCAAGACCCTTAAATCCTACCATAAAATTCATACCTTACATGTTACCTTAAATCATAGCCTCACCACCCTTATCAAAATTATGGCCCCCAACAACACCCATATTTAGACTTAAAGTGAGTTTTCGTTTGTTTTCCAACTTATCAAAAGTCAGCACATTTAACAAGGAGCAAGGAGTAATTTATCAAGGAGTAATTACTGGCGTTAGTCTTCCTCAGCCATCTTTCCTGTTGCTAGAATTATTATTGACTTGTAAAATCTGCATGAATAGCCTCAAATACGGGTAATAGATGACAACTTTCCTCAGCTCTACTAATGGTCAAGGCCCAAGAGCCACTCAAGGTAGACAGTTAGTGTATGATGTTGCATGAGCATAAGAAAAGGCAAGTAGTGCAGATTATCAGGTTATGTAGGGAAGATAACTGTTAACCCTAGACTTGAAGATGTTAAGCCACTCAAGGTAGAGGCTTACTGAATGAGATTGCTGCATAGATATAAGAGGAGGCAGTAAGAAGTGCAGTTTATCAGGTTATGTACGTAATGGTCAACCCTGGACTTAAAGAAATTAAGATTGTAGTGATTGGAAAATGTTGTAACGTAGGGAAGGTTACTGCATAGAACAATCAAACAAAGCTTGGTAATGAACAATAATACTTAGGACAAGAACAACACATATAAGATTTGCCAGTAGCATGTAGAAGTAGTCAACTGCTAGAAATCAGTCAAGTGAATTCCACAATAAATCTGCAGGATATCTACCAACTGCCCCATGCAGTCAGATGTGGCACAAGGCCGAGTTTAATGTGAGGTATCTGAGCCTGTAGGCTCGGCCAAAAATTCCCTGTAGACCCAGTATAAAACAGGGTTGGGTAGCCATTTCCCGACACGAGACTCTGCCCTTCGACATAGCCTCATCTGAGGATTTTCTCTGCCTGGAGGCAGAGAGTTTGACCAACACAGCTGGAGATGAATCTCCAACTGTAGACCAACATACAGTATTTACTACTGTATTTATGTGGATGGGGACATACCCATTATCATCCGTAGTTATGCTACAACAAAAAGCATTCTATCAGGGGTCTGTTCTTTAAAGCAGTAATTCTTGTGAAGGAGCTGTCTGAGCAGAACTTGCTAGTTATTAATAGAATATAAAAGGAGTGAATATGATTCATCCCCCATAAACATTGTGGGTCCCAGCTGCAAAGTCAGGTTTGGTGAAACCAAGGAATATAGCTTGTCAAAGAACTTGCCAGGGAAATAGTTATAGAGTAGTGAGAGGCTTGTGATGTCTTGTCTGTTGGAAAAGGGTTTTTTCAAAGGATATAAGTTTTCTCAAGTTTAAAACTCAGTGAAAGATTAATGAAGGTCTGAGTAGTTGTGATAAAAGGTACCATGTATACTCACACATTATTTGACTTTCAAAGACCTAATTTAGAAGCTAATTTTAAGAGGGTCACATCATACATAAGATATAAAATTAGCGTTTGTATTCTGGCCCTGGCTATGCCGTTGACGAAACTATTTATCCATTTACTGTAGTCAAAAAGTACAGCTGTATTTAAAATAAACATGATTTTGATAAAACTGATATTTTACTTAACTGTATCCAATAATAATGCATGTAATATTTGCATATTCGTATCATATTATAAAATACAAACAGCGAATATGCATCTTTTCTATTGTTTACATTTATAAGATGTTTAGCTGTTTCTCGTTCGGTTGTTTATGGCTGTACATGTTTACACAATGAGTATAGTATTACTAATGATACTTTTATCATTCTCTTTCACTTTTTTAGCTAGAGGATGAGATAAAGAGATAGAGGAAAAGAGGTTAGTCTATAGTGATTTGGTCTCTCCAAAAAAGGAAATCACATGAGACATGAGATACATGATAAAATCATTTTTTATAAGTGAAAATTTGGGGGTTGAACAATACATGAGATCACATGTTATATGAGTATATATGGTAATTGAAATTAAGATGAAAGAATTAAGGGCTTAATTAATAATAATAATAATAATAATAATAATGATAATAATAATAATAATAAACTCTTTTTCTTTGTTATTATTAAAAATATGGATGATTTGATTTTGCTTCTTTACAGATTGCATCGTCCTGTTATGGTCTAAGTAATCTAAAGACAGAATTTTGTTTACTCTTCCTTGGACTAATTCTTAATTAGGTTTCTGACTATGGTTCTTGATTGATCACTGTGTCCACACACAGAAAAAGCAGCATGATTAAAAAATGGCCCTGTTGTTGAGAAATGATGGATGACAAAAGAAAAAAAAATTAGTTGAAGAAATCATTCTGATTTATTCACATGCTTAGCCAGGTTAGTACTAGACTTTGTAGCTAGGGAAAAACGGAGAGTGTCAAATAGGACTCTTCGGAATATTTGTACTGCCACTAGCTGTCAAAACGGTTCCTCTTTTATGGAGTTTAAGCACCTCCCTCCTGCAAGTTTGATTAGTCATAAATTACACTTCCCAGCTCATAATATTTTGGTTGAGACTCATAGATAAAAGTCTTGTCCTCAAGTGCTTTCAGCTATCATGCCCAATTAAAAGGTTATTCTTCAACTTTCCACTTCATTTAATAGGAATCATCATATATCACTACAATTATCCAATTTATTTTGAGCATAATATAAAATAAAAATGGGGGATCAGTACTTTTTTTTTTTTTTTAATTATTGATCCAACATTTTGTGATTATTTAATTTGTTTCATTATTGAATCTCTTTTGCTGGCTAATTTGGGATTTTTCAGGTAAAGATAAAAAAAAAAATATAAATGAACAATTTACCAAAACAAAAACAAAAAAAATATGAAATTCAAAATGTTAAAAAATGGGAGAGAAGGTAACATTGGATAAGACTGGTTTCAAATCAGGGATAAAATATTTTAATCAATATGAGAAGCAGTGGCTGTGAGAGAGAGAGAGATAAAAGGTCAAATGAATGAAAGAGAGAAAGAAAGAGAAAGAAAAAAGAACAAGCGGGGGTGGGGGGAGGAGAGAGGAAGGGGAGGGTATGAAAAGAGGGATACTTTTTTTTTTCTAAAGAGAAAGAAAATGAAAAATAAAAAAAAGAAAGGAAAATAGAAATGAAGAAGGAAATCTTTTTAAGAAAGGAAGAGAATCTTTATGAAAAAGATTAAAAAGGAAATAGAACAGAAAGTTTGAGAAGGAGTGAGAGAATGAGACTGTGGTAGTGGGGGAGACAATGAAAGTAAAAGAAAGGTGGAGGAAAAAATGGAGTAATAAGTTTTAAAAAGAAAGGGATAGGAAGAGGAGAAAAGTTAACAAATATGAGAGAGAGAGAGAATGGTTTACAAATGTGAAAGGAAAGAGTGTTGAGAGAACTTGAAAGAGAAACATCGGAATTATAATACTGAAAAGGCAGCTTGTTTTCTTGAAAAATATAAACAAAAAGATTAAGATAAAAATGAGGCAATAAATAGAATTAAAATATAGGAGAGAATAATTAAAGGCTTTTGATTGGCTGAGGAAAATATATTTATTTTTATTCCCACCCCTGACTTCATTAATTAACATCATTGATTAAACTAAACACATAAAAAATTAATTAAACTAAACACATAAAAAATTAATTAAACTAAAAACATAAAAAACAAAAAAATAAAAATTTTACTTTTGCCATTCATAACAAAATTCTTTTTAGCCTGTAAAAGCAAAAACAATTATTTTTACTCAAGGAAATTCTAAAAAATTAAACATTTGAAATTAGAAAAAAATATTATATATTTTTATAAGTAGATTATATAATTGAAATAAGTGTTTTGATTCATTTAAAAAAAAGTTTGCTTTTAAAAATTAATAAACTGAAAAATAACTTTAAAATTTTAAATAATAAAAAATTTTTTTTTTTTTTGCTTACATTTTTAAATCATTTTCTTCCTTTTATAACTTTTTACTGAAAAAAAGAAAAAATAGCATTGGCAAAGAATTGTTTTTCTGTATTTTAATTTTAAGAAATAATTTCTTAAATATTAAAATCAGGAAGGATGGTTTTTTTCTAAGTTTTTTGTTTGTTTTTTGTTTTAGTTTTTTTTTTTTTTTCAATTTGAAAATTGTGAAAGAAAATTAATTCCAAATTGAACATGGATGCCAAAAGACATTAAAGTAAAAGAAACAAAATGGAAAAGTGAGAGAGAGAGAAGACTGGACCATGTTGATGAAAAAATAACAAATTGAGAATTCAAGCAGCCATTTTGTTTGTCACTTGGATGCATAAAGACAATTGAATCTCAACTATTTACAAGGAATCAATATTGCAATGCTGGATACAGCTGGATATTAAAAAAAATGTTTACCAAAAAGAAACAATCAAGTAAATGGACTAACAGAGAGGGTCAGTGACCATTATTTTTTCATTTTAATTGATTAAAAAAGATAATACTGTAGACAAGGAAAAGATTTATATATGCAAGGAAGTTGACTATAAACAACAATAAATCTTTGACTGTTTTATCAGCAAAATCATGCATTTTTATTGGAAAAATGGAGTAATCACAATTATGATGACACAAAAAGGAGAAAATATCTCTTTGAAAACCAAAAAAAAAAAAAATGAAAAAATATGTTACTTATAACTTTGTGGTAGGGAAACATTTTTTTTTTTTTGAAATTGATGTTGATAATGTTGAAAAAAAAATGAAAACAAATAATGTTTCTTTTTCATGGCGTGTAAACAAAACAAAAAAGAAACATGCATTTTTCTCATGAGAAAAACATTTTTAAAAACAATATCTAAACAGTGGAAAAGATGGAAAAATTCAAAATGGAAAAGTAAAAAAAAAAAACACTATTTTTCATAAGAGATCAAAAAATATTATATCCTCCCCCTCCTCCTCACCATCAACTCCTTCCTACAAATATGAAATTTTGTTCTGTCTTGTATTCAAATTAATTATTTTTTTTTAATTAATTTGAATAAAAAAAAAAAAAAAATGACAATTATGATTTCCCTTATATTCAACAAAAATATCTAAAAAAAATTCAAGTTGAAAAATAGATCCAAATAAGGGAGGGGGGGGAAAAAGTAACAAAAATCCAAATTATGAAAGTAACAAAAATCCAAGTTAGAGGGTGGGGGTGAAAGTAACAAAAATCCAAGTTAGAGGGGGAAAAAGTAACAAAAATCCAAATTAGGGGGGGGAGTAACAAAAATCCAAATTAGGGAGGGGGGGGGTAACAAAAAATCCAAATTAGGAGGGTAAAAAAATTAACAAATGCTTGTAGAATTTCAAGGCATCATAAGTTTTGTCATACAGGGTATGACAGAAATAGCTCCCAGAAATACCTTTCACATAATAGTAAGACATTAGTACCAATGGTGTTCTTCATCTAGCTAATGTCTTAACATTATGTGGGAGGTATTTCTGCCTTACCCTGTACAAAAATATGTTTAAAGGATGTTTCCTCTTCATTCTTTTAACGTATGAAATGATTCTGTGATGTTCTTGTTAAAATCAAAAAAACAAAAATGTTAACCCTTGAACTTTGGCAGGCATTTCAATCATTTCCAGTTGAGCCATGGAACTGAAATGATGGAAATTCTTGTGACCCGAAGTTAATGAACTGGGGGGCAGGGGGGGGTGGTGAGGTGAATAGAAATTATTCCGCTGGAAGGATTTTTTTTTTTGTGTTTTCTTTGGAATTTTTTTTTTAAACAGTTATTCATACTACCTCATATTTTCACACATAAATTACGACAAAGAAAAAAGAAGATAAGAAAACAAATAGACAGACACAACAATAAAATACACAGCCTCATTATTCTTTATTGACACAAACGAAGAAGAAAAAAAACTTGAAGAATTTCTTTTTATGCAAAAAAAAAAAAAAAAAAAAAAAGGTTAAATTTTTACTATTACACTCGTCTTCCTTAATTTACCGAATGTGCATAATCAGTTCCACTCTTACTTCACTGTCATTGGCTAGTTTGGCTACTTAAAGAGCATAAAATAATAGTCAGGGATGAAACGGGTGTAACAGTAAAATAATGCCAAAGAAAGTTTAAACAAGAAGAAAAGGAAGAAAAAGAAAGGAAAAATATTTTAAATTCTTTTTTTTATTTTGTTTTTCTTTTTTTTTGTTTAATTTAAATTTTTACTTGATTTTGGTTTCTAACCAAATATAAATTTTTACTATCTCTGTCCCATAGTAATTACTACATTTGCATGCACATTTCTTATGTTAAATGTATCAATTATTATGGGACATTGATAGTATAATATTTATATAATACTGCTGTCCCATAATAATTGTTCCATTTGTATTGTTATTTCATACATTAAATGTATCAACTATTATAGGACATTAGTAGTATAATATTTATATAATTGTCCCATAATAATCGTTCCATTTTCATGTCCATTTCATACATTAAATGTATCAACTATTATGGGACAGAGGTAGTATATTATTATTTATATAATAATGCTTTGTCCCATAATAATTGTTCCATTTGTTTCATATTTCATACATTAAATGTATCAACTATTTTGAGACAGGTTGTAGTATTTTTTCAGTTTTAAAATTTAACTACTTAACCTGACAAATATTTATTTTTTTATTTAGATATTGTGCAATGCATTCACTATGTTCCCCCCTTTTTTTTCTTTTTTTTTTCAGAAATTTAAAAAAAATCCCATTTCCAATAAAAAGATTTGTACCTCAACTCTAGAAATTTACCAAAATAGTTTAAGCTGAAAAAAAATCAGAAATAATTTTTAAATTTTTTTCTTGGATAGAAAATCTTTCTGTTATTTGTTGTTGTTGTTTTATTGTTTATGACTTTGTTATTTTTTCCTTTTAATATTAGCTGAACCTTTGGCAATCATTTTTTTTTACTAGTATTTCTTTCATCTTTATTTCATTTGCTTTTTATTACAATTCTCAGACGACTATTCTATGTTTGTTCTTAAAACGAGGCAGACCAGGAATTACCGTAATTCCCCATGTATCCTTAATACGCACCCCTAAAATTGTGGGAAAATGCTTCTATTCATACATAATATGCACCCCTTGTTTGGTAATCAAACCCTATAAATTGTACCTCTCCAATTTCATTACAGCCAGCGTTCCCTACTCTTATTAAAAAAAAAATGGATTTAAACATAGAATAATATTATTCTAATTTAGTTTTATGAGAATTCTAATTTTACATTTGTAAGTATTGTTAGGTACATGTGACTGTGTTTGACATTCTTATGGGGTTGCAATCGCCAAATGTTAGTGTTAAATTGTCGTATGTTTGTGGTGAGTAGTCATTTTGCAACTGAAATTGACCTATGAAACGGCAATTTTTTTAAAGATTTTTTTGTAGCTGTGCATAATAAGGACCCCTAATTTTGCTTATTATTTTTTTAGAAAAAAATGCGTATTATACATGAGGAATTATGGTAAAAAATATGCCTTTGCTGAGATTTACATAGCCATATTCTTTATTTCTGTTCCTGGTCCAATACATTTTGCTGAGTGATAAGTTGAATTAAAATTAACACTTTTACTTCTGCATTGTTGTAACATTGCTGCCTGACTGTAAGGAAAAATAAGAAATTACCATTTTGTGGAAATAAATGGCTATAAGGATGCTGATGGCACTTTCTAATGGGCTCTACTATTTCAGTTTTCATCAGATACTTTGGAGTTCAGACTAAGCTAAATGGCACCCCCCCAACAAAAAAAACATTGCAAAAGAGGTCATATTGTATACTAAAAATGTAAGGGATTGATATTCATAGTGTTTTGAATATATATATATATTATATATTACATAACACCCTTGAGCGCTTAGCTTTGGAGCGAGTAGAATGGAGATCAACGTGTTTTAGTGGACTCAGCAATTTTCAATCTGCTTGTCTGAATCATCTTCAAGTAGTGAGAGCAAGATCTAAAAGGTCAGCCAATCTAACAGTTATCTCATTTCACAATCCTCACACTTGCTCCATATGTGGCCTCCTTTGTAAATCACTAGCGAGTCTTAATTGCCACTTAAGATTACTGCACAAACATTCATAACTGAATCAATAAGCTGTCAGATCCTCATACGTCGAAACTGACAAGAGAGTCCATTATTATTATTATTATTATATATATGTGTGTGTGTGTGTCACCAGCAAGCAATGTCAGTTTGATAAAGAGCTATAAGTACACCTACAGCAGCAGAAGTGTTAAGGGTTAAAGGTTTTCTCCTATGTGCCAGGTCTTTTCAGGATGTGAGTGATCATAGCTCTCCACAACTTCCTATCCTTTGTCGCTCTTAGAAATGTTTGTCTTTTTACGACCTCTCCCACTTTCTATTCTGCCATCCATCCACACAAACTCATTAGTTACTTGCATCTTTCCTCTGTTTTTTTGTCCTTGTGAGTGTCAAATTTTCCAGG